TACAGCCTGACAATAGGACACACAAAACATGTCAGGCCATGTGAGGGCAGGAAAAAGCAGAAGGTAATGAAATGGGAGGTTGTTTTAGCACAAAGTAGCTGCCAGTCAGAAAAAGCAAGCTCCTCTCCTGTCTTCCAGTGCATGGCCACAGAGACCAACATTTGGCCATAGACATACATTTAAAAGTTAACAGATGCTCATCGTCACTCATATGCCATCTGCCAGCAGTCCATCAATCTCCAGGAATGCTCCCCGGCCTAAATGCTGGCTCCCCTGGAAAGCTAGTAGTGATTTCATCGCACTCAGGGATCAAAGCCTCATTGCCTGGAGTCCATACGCAAGGTTGAGGCAGGTGCCCTAGGGAACATATGGTCTACATAACTTCAGCCACAATGTTTCTGTATTTTGTGCTTCATACATAGAGAAAAATTGCATTATTTACTCATTATGTAAAAACCATAGTAAGTAGAAGACCTCAGGCCGTCTCCCTGCTTACAGCTTTACTTTAGTACCATAAATTGACAGATAAAGGATATGTCATCTTCTGCACAGCTCCTCTAAGATTCAGAGCTTTGTAAACTAGATGATACTGATTTCACAAGAGCAGGACACAGCCCAAAAAAGCTTAAATCGATGTCCATCTTTCTTCACTCCATGACGAATTTCATCCCCTTAGGCCAAGACCATACATTCTGACCAGCAAAGCTCCATTTATTAGAAGAGCTACTTCCATTTCAGGCTCTGATGAGTACCAGTACACAGTTCTGCTCTCTGCTTTGTGTGACAGTGTTCACAGGTTTTCCCTGGTTCTCAGTGGAGATTAGGAAGGCTGAGACACACAAATATACACAGGTAAAAATTTGCACATGCACTAAGATAGTTTACATCCCTTTCAACTCCTTATGGTAGGCCAACAGCACACACTCTGAACTGTTCAGATGGAGATGCTTTGGACGTAGGCCTGTATGGTCATCCACACAGAGTCACTCACTTGTATTATAGTCCTGATCCTCAGCCATGAAACAACTGGAATGGCAACAAATCAAGTGCCAAGTTTCATCCAAATTCACTATCCCAGTACAAGTTTGGGTATAAAGAGACCAGACACTTGGTGCCTCCCCTTTTTCATTTCTCTAGAAAGTGAAATAATTTTATCATGGCAGATTTTTTTTACTCAGCAATTGACATTACGCAACTGCAAACTTTTCTTGAAATTACTTTGAAATTAACACATTGACAGTAACACTATTAAATTGGGGGACATCCAAATGCTCTACAGCACTCAGCTGCAGGTGTAATGCAGAGGAGCAAGTGATCTTTCTATGACCTCCCAGCTGCTACCGGTCAAATCTAATATGCATCAGAATGGCTGGCAAACAGTGCTGTGAACAGAAAGCCAAACAGCAGCAACTAAGGCAACTTAGTTCCCTTCCCGACTTCACAGTGAAGAACTTGCATCTCTGGGGCAAGCAGGGGAAGCTGAAGTTAATTGCATGACCTATCTAAAGTGATGACAATTTCCTGTAGCATCTAACATTTCAATATATTCCGTCTATCTGATAGATCAGTTACTTTCTCTAATAATCTTCCCTTGGTATTGCACACTAGTCATCCTGAAAACTGCTGCAGCTGCTCTATGTATCCTGCTCTAGCTCTGCCAAATCAAGTCTTCATTCTTTTGGGATATCACTAGTCCCTTCTCACAAAACCTCTACTTTAGCCTCTCCAATATAAACTGAAGTCACAGAAACAGGAATAACTCTTCCAATGTCATTTTGATTCATATTGGGTTGCAAGGCCAGGAGGCAAAAATGCTATTTACACAGAGCAAAGCTCTCCTGACCAGGCTGGAAAGAGGTATTTCTTCTTTAAAAACAAAACAACACAACACGACACGACAATCTCCTATTCCTGTTTATTTGTTAGGGTCCTTCTACATCACATCACATTTTACAAAAGTGAAGAAATTCCATCACACATACATTAGTGTGAGCTTTGAAATGACTGAGTAAACTTTACCCTCCACACACATTTCAGGTTAAGTAACCACTGCATGCAATCCCCAAAACATAATGACTTTGAAACACTTTTTAAGTGATAGGACAGCTTTCCAAAACACCGTCTGTCCAAACAGTGGACTTTAAGGATCTCAAGCCAGGCAGCAGAAAGAGGCAGAACATGTTCAAAACAAGTTGTGCTGTAAGAGATTACATTACTAGTCTGTGGTCTGCATCTGTTTCAAATGTTCCACTTCAGTTCCATCACAGGTACAGGAAGGGCAATAGGGTGTAAGAAACAGTACGTCCCAAAGACATCAGCTATTTCTAGGCTGATGAAACAAACAGCCACACAGAATTTACACAAGTAATTTAATAACTATTGCAGAAACTGGCAATTTTAATACTGCTTCATAGTCTAATAAACCGGCATTTCTCTACATAGTAACACCTATTAGCCAGGTTCACTCACTACCTTTCAGTCAACAAGATTAAATACAGACAAAAGAATCAAAGGTGACTCCCGGAAATGCAAATTCATGTTCCAGCTAAGCAAAGGCTCCTTAGCCAAGGCTTCATTGAGATGATTCCTGACCACACCTCCAGCTTACCTTGCCCGTGCATTTATTCTTTCAGGCAGGGACACGCACGGGTTCTGCAGAGTAAGCCGTTATTCCCTCAGCCTAGACAGAGAAGATGCTCCTCGCCAGTTTTAAATCTCTTCTTAAACAGCACAAACCAGTTTGCATTACATAGCTAAGTATGTCTGATGGTAATCCTAAACAGCAGCCTGGCTATCCAATGGATCACAATGCAGGGGTGAGGCTACAGCAGTCCACAGACCCCTTTGTTGGGAGGTTCACTTGTCAGCAAGAACTAAATGGCAGGGGGTTTCCCCCATCAAATGGTAGCACAAGAGTAAGCAGCTTTCCTTCACTCCCACCCTGCTGCTATTCATCCTCGATAGTCACAGTCTAGGGATTAAAAAAAATCTCTTCCCTTGCCCTCCTCCCCTTTATTCCCCATGTCTTCTCTAAACGAGGAAAATGCAGTAACAGTGAGAACGGCTGCAAATTCCGCAAAGGACTTGATGGCTTCACATGCACTGGAAGAGATAAAATGGAGCCAGGAGGGTGAAGGAGACAGCGAGTGTGTGTTCAGTCACACATGTAACAAGTCCCAGGAGCGAGTCTGCTCCAGGGCTCAGGGCCTGCCCCTGCGATACCTCGGCAGTTGTTCCCAGAGCCATGCTCGTTGGCCCGGCAGGGAACAGAGAATTGGTCTGTCAGCTCCTGGAACAATGAGCTGCTAGGCAGAGGTTGAGGTCGCTTGTGTTGGTTTTGTCTGGGATAGAGTTAATTTTCTTCATAGTATTTTGGCTTTGTGCTGAAAACAGTGCGGATGAGGCAGAAATGTTTTCATCACTGCTGAGCAGTGCTTACACAGCGTCAAGGCCTTTCCTGCTTCTCACCCCACCCCACCAGCGAGCAGGCTAGGGGTGCACAAGAAGCTGGGAGGGGACAAAGCTGGGACAGCCAACCCCAACTGACCAAAGGGATATTCCATACCACACGACATCATGCTCACCACAGAAAGCTGAGGGAAGGAGGAAGCAGGGGACATTCGGAGTGATGGATTTTTACTCTTCTGATTCTTTTCCCCATCCCACTGGAGTGGATGAGCAAGCAGCTGCGTGGGGCTTAGCTGCCAGCTGGGGTTAAACCACACCACCACCAAAAGTGAGGAGCAGGCTGCAGGACACTAGGAGAGAGGAGCAAAGTGGCAGCCAGCTGGACAGGGGGTGTAGTGAGAAAGCATGAGGCAGGGAATGGGACAGCGAAAGGAGTACGGGGACACTTAGCCTGACAAAGAAAGAAGCAGAGAGTGAAGAGAGGCATTGGAAAGAGGGAGAGGGAGCAGGAAACAGACTGACAAAGGATGGGGAGCAGAATGTAGATGCTGAAAAAACCTGGAACAGGCAGCAGGACAGAGAACGAGGAAGGAAGAGCAGAACAGAGAGAGATTGAGAAAGACAAAAAAGTCACAAAGAATAGGGCAGAGAGGGAGGATGAAACAACGGGGGCAGGGAATGGGGACAGTGAACAATGGAGGAAAGGGAAGGGGCAGAGGGACGCAACACAAAACAAATTACAGGGCAGAGAAGGAAGAATTAAGAAACAGGGACAGGGAGCCAGAAAAACAGAGCGCTGGAGAGTAAAAAGAACAGCAACGTGTACAGAAAGAAGAGGGGATGGAATTCTAAAATATGGTCATGGGGGAGCCAGAGACAATGAGATGGAGAAGGGACAAAAGCAACAGGCTACAGGGCAGAGAGGGAGGAATTGATAAATAGGGACAGGGGACCAGACAGAGCATGATGGAGAACGGAAAAAATCAGCAGCGGGCCACAGGGAAGAGGGAGGAACTACGGAACAGGGACTGTGAGCTGCACAGAGCCACTGAGAAAGAAGAAAAAGAGTGACGGATTACAAGACAGATAGGGAGGAACAATAAAAAAGCAGCATAGCAGCAGAGAGCTGGACAGAGAGAGCTGAAGAGACGGACAAATAGTGTGGGGCTATGGGACAGAGAACGTGGAATGAAAACACAGAGAGAGGGAGACAGAAAGACAGAGAGACCAAGGGGGAAATCCAAACAAGCTATGGGGGACAGAGGGAGGAATTAAAAACAGGACAGAAACAGATGGAGATAGCAGGGAATAGCATTGAATGCAAGAAGGAGGAGGAATTAATATACAGGGACAGGGACCTGGACAGAGAGTGAATTAAAACATAAGGACAGGGAGCCAGGGTACTGGGGGAAGTTGGATAAAGAATGGGGGAAAGAAAGAAAAAAAAAAAAAAAAAAAGATAGGCTACAGGGAAGAGAAGGAGGAGTTAAAAAAAATGGGATCCAGAGCTGGACAGGGACCTCGACAGAGAAAGGCAAAAATAGCAGCAGGGTACAGGGCAGAGAGGAAGAATTAAAAAACGTGGCAGTGAGATGGACATAGATGGAGAAAAGAAGAAAGTAACAGGCTATGTGAGAGAGACAGAGGCATTTAAAAACAGGGCTGGGAAGCAAGAAAGAGAGAGATGGAGAAAGAGGGGGAACCCAAGGGGCAATAGGACAGAGAAGGAGGAATTAAAAGAGAAGAACAGGGAGCTGGAAAAGGAGAGGTGGAGAAAGAAACAGCATCACAACATGATTAGGAGCACCTAAAAGATGGGGACAGAGTGCTGCTCAGAGCGACACGGAAAAAGGAGGTACAGGGGAGCACAAAAATAAATAATCACAGCAATGCGGAAAAGAGAGGGGGCCAGGGAGGGACACTGAGGGACCAGGATGCGCAAGGGGGGTGACAGGGCCCTGAGGGCCAGGACGAGAAAGAAGGCCAGGGAGCAGGACAGAGGAGAATAACGGGACAGCGAGCTGGACAGGGGGATATAGCAAGAAATGGTGGGTCTGGCAGTGGTATAGAGATATACAGACAAAAAGTTAGGTGGAGGATGGAGGACAGAGAGAATAAGAGACAGGGGACAGGGAATGGGGCAGAGACAGAGAAAGAAACATTAGAGACAGAGAAAGGAGAGTGACAGGACCAAGGCAGAGAGACAGAAAAAGGAAAAAAAAGACAGTGATGGGTAGCAGGCCAGAGGGACAAGGAAAGACAGAGGGATACAGAAAACAGGTGAGGGACAAGGAGCCAGAAACTGGGATGCTGCAAAAGAGGAGGGGGGGACAGGGAGCAGGATGCTGAGACAGAGAGCAAATGAGAGAATGACAGAGAGGTAGAGCATGAGAAAAAACAGGGACAGAGAGCAGGACAGAGAAGTGAAGTAATAAATATTAGGGATAGGGAACAGGATAGAGAGAGAGGGACAAGTAAGACAACAGATAACCAGATAAAGAAAAGAAAGGGAACAGCAAGAGGGTCACAGAGAAAAAGAGAGAGAGGGCAGAAAGAGAAAAATAAGACAAGGGAGAAGGACTGAGGAGCAGACAGAAAAAGGTACAGGGAAAAGTACAGAGATGGAGAAAACAAAGAAAGACTGGAGGCAGAACAAAGAGAAAGACTGATAAGGACAGGGAGCAGGACAAAGAGATGGAGGAAGAAAAAATAGTGATGGGCAGCAACAGAGGAAGAGAGAGAAAAAGAGCAAGAGCAACAGGAGAATGACAGAAGAATGTAAGAGAAAGACCAGGGCACCTCAAATGGGGGCCTGGGACACACACACATCAGAAGGGTAGAAAGAAAGAGAGAGATGAAGGGCAAGACAGTGTGATAGGAGGAGGGAGGGAGGGAGGGAGATGCAAGTACATAGAAAAGCAGAGGTACAGGGAAGAGGAAAGAATGACAGAGAGAAAGGGGAGGATGGGGGGCAAGAGAGAGATGGAGAATGAAAGAATAGTGACGGACAGGGGAACAGAAATACAGAGAATTAAAGAAAAGTACTTCTAGGGAGCTGGACAGGGTGATAGAGCAAGAGGAAAAAATCAACAGGGAGAAGGAGAGGTAACACATGGCAAGACACTGGGAGAGTGAGGGAACATAGAGCAGGACAGAGGGATAAAAGTAGGGGCAGGAAGAAAAGAGTAACCAAAGGGGAAAAATACTAGAAAGGGAACAGGACAGAGATGGGCAGCAGGACAGAGAAATGGAGAAAGAAAAAACAGGAACAGGAACAGGGACAAGAACACGGATAGAGAGGCAAAGAGAGGGACAGGGACCAGGACAGCAGGATAGAGAGAGGCATAGGGAGTGGGAGACAAGATTGCAGAGAGAGGGGTACAGGGAAGTGGAAAGAATGACAGATAAAGTAGGGCAGAGTAGGGAAGAGAGAAATGCAAAAGGTGACGTCTGGCTGGACAGGGGGATATAACTAAAACAATGAGACAGGCAGCAGGGCAGAGGGATAACAGCAGAATAACCAGGAAGAGGAAGAAGGACAGAGGGACAATGAGAGGAAACAAGGGGCAGCGAGCAGGACAGAAGTGAAGAAAGAAGCATTGGGGCGGAAGGATAGAAAGAGAAAAAAGAAAAGACAGGAAGAAGGACAGGGGATAGGGAGGGGAAAAAGAAGGACAAGAAGCAGGATGCAGACTGTCAGCGAAAGACAAGGACAGGGAGCAAGACAAGGTGATACAGAGAGAGAAAAAAGGGACAGGGAGGCAGGAGAAAGTGAAAGGCAAAAATAAGAGACAGGGAGCAGGACAGAGAGGGAGGGGGAAAAAAGCCTAGGATGGGCAGCAGGACAGATAGATGGAGAAAGAAAAAAAAAGCACTGGGCTGCAGAACAGAGATGGAGTGAGAAAAAACAGGGACAGGGAGCAGGATAGAGTGACAGAGAACAAAAAAAATAAGAGGGAACAGAACAGAGAAATGGGGGGAACACAAGGAGAAGGACAGAGAAACAGAGGAAGGGGGCAGGACAGAGAGATGGAGCAAGTGGGAAAGGATGGGAACAGAACAAATGGAAAAAGAAAAAAGGACAGGGAGAAGGACAAAGGGATGGAAGAGGGAAAAAAATAGTCATGGGCTGCAGAACAGAGATAAAGGAATTAAAAAACAGAGACAGGGAGCATGGCAAAATGACAGAAAAAAGGGACAGAGAGCAGGACAGCATTGGAGAAAAAAAACTAACTCTGATGGGCAGTGGAAGAGAGATATGGAGAAAGAAAAAAGTACTGAGAAAGAAAGAGAGGTATTAGGAACCCTGTAGAGGGATGGAGGAGAAAAAAAGGGCATGGAGCAGCACAGAGTCAGAAAGAGCAAGAGATGAACACGAAGGAAGATGGGGACAGTGAGGTACAGAATTAAAAAAAAAAAACGAACCATGACAGTGAGCAAAACGAAGGGGGATAGAAAAAGAAAGAGAAGGAAGAAGGGACAGAGAAGTAGGAAAGCAGGGACACAGAGTGGCTCGTACACATGCAGAGAGAAAAGGAATGCCAGGGAACAGGCCAGAGATACTGTGAGGAAAACAGAGATGGATGCAGATCAGGACAAAGAGAGGGAAAAGGAAAAAACAGCAGTGGGCTACAGGGTAGAGACAGAGGATTAAAAAAAAAGAGAGCGAGAGGGAGCAGGACACAAGAATAGAGAGGAAAGGTACAGGGGAGGGAAAAAAAAAAAATAAATCACAGCAGTGTGGGAAGGAGAGAGGGCCAGGGGAGGAGCAGGGAGGGCCTGGGACGCACAAGAGGGGCGACAGGGTCCTGAGGGCCCAGACTCACTGCAGCCTTCGTTCTCAGTGCTGCTGGGAGACTATGGCATGTCAGAAGCCTCTTTCTCCTTCTCCCTTCCTCTTCTGTAGCTCTAGTCACTTGACTCACAGAATACGTGTGTGTCTCACAGGTCTCACGAGACATACAGCCTCGCTCGCTCACGCATTACACCACTGTACCACTCTGCTGCTGATGCACACACACCTTGTGGTGCACAGCGGCAGCCTCGCCCACTGCAGACTACAAAGCACAATCTTCCTTCACCCAGAGAGGCACGTTCATTCTTACTTGCAGCGAGAGGCAGCTGCCAGCCGGATGGCCTTTGCCTGCTGCTTCTTTACGTTTCTCTGGCCCCTCCACCTTCAGCTGCAGCAGCTCCTGCCCACAGCCAGTAAGTGCTCCACCCATCCCTTTTCACCCCCACACCGTGAGGAGAGCGAGGCCAGGCAGAGACAACCCAGGCAAACCTGAAGCAGGTGCAGTCAATGACATCCTCAGGGAAAGACTGGACACCTGTGCCCTCAGTGCAGCCTCTGGGAGAGGGAAAAGAGAAGCAGCGACCGTTATTGCCACAGATCGTCCTTACCCAAAGCCTCTCCTGCAGGGGCTTCCACAGGCACCTCTCTGTCCCTGCGCTACAGCTAACGGCACCCCCACCAAGGAAGAACCAAGTACATTTCATGGCCGACACGCTGCCGTCACGATAGGGCTGGGGGGTGACCTGGGGCTACCAGACAGGCTGCAGGGGAGGTGCTGGCGCTGG